GCCGCTTGCTTGGGCGGAAGGCCCAGCAGCCCTGCATCAGGCCGTACACCTGGGGGGGAGAAGGGGGTGAACATGTGGGGGGGAGGGGGACGCACACGATGGAGCCATCCCCCCTCCCCCTGGGAAGTTCCTTACCTCCGGGGGGCAACCGGGGGGCGCAGGGAGACGCTTGTTGTCCTTCAGGAGTTCCAACAGGTGGCAAATGACCTGCAAAGGCTTGTCCAGTCCCATCATGCGGAGGAATTCCTGCAAGGCAGGGGGAAACCGAGGCAGGAAAGGGTTGGTCTCCCTCGGCACGCTGGAGCCATCCCCCCTCCCCCTGGGAAGTTCCTTACCTCCGGGGGGCAACCGGGGGGCGCAGGGAGACGCTTGTTGTCCTTCAGGAGTTCCAACAGGTGGCAAATGACCTGCAAAGGCTTGTCCAGTCCCATCATGCGGAGGAATTCCTGCAAGGCAGGGGGAAACCGAGGCAGGAAAGGGTTGGTCTCCCTCGGCACGCAGGCGTGGGGTCTGGGGGGGGTCCCCTTAGCCCCGGGCCAGACCTGACTTTGTCTCCCTCCACAGGCAGGAGCGGGGACTGCGATGCCATTTGCTGCTTGTATGTTTCATTCCCTCCCCTCCCCGGTACCATGCAGAACCTGGGGTCCTCTGTTAGCCCGTCAAAGTTCTGCTTGTCCAGCAACTTGTGGGGCAGTCTGGGGCCAGGTGTGGGGCGCGGGGCAGGTGCTGCTGTCCAGTTTGGGGCACCACGTTGCAGGAAAGAGGTGGAGAGACTGGAGAGGGTCCAGAGAAGAGCAATAGAAAGGACAAAAGGCCTGGAAAACATGAGCTAGGAGGGCAGACTGAAAGAATTGGGCTTCTTTAATTTGGAAAAGAGAAGAGGGAGGGGACAGGAGAGCAGCTTTCAAGTACCTAAAAGGGCGTCACAAGAAGGAAGGAGAAAAATTGTTCTCTTTGGCCTCTGAGGACAGGACAAGAAGCTTAAATTGCAGCAAGGGAGGTTTAGGTTGGACATTAGGAAAAACTTCCTGTCCAGCTGGTGAAACACTGGAATAAATTGTCTAGGGAGGTTGCGGAGTCTCCAGCACTGGAGAGATCGAAAAGCAGGTTGGACAGACACCTGTCCGGGATGGTGTAGATAAATGACCCAGGAGGGACTCCTGACGGGGGTTCACCTGCGTAACTTACTGCTGCAGGATATTAGCGAAGAAAGTTGCGTCGCTGGTTTCCAGGAATATAATAGGATGTTTATTAAGTGAAAGAGTTTTCAGCTCGCATGCATCAGGGTTTGAGCTGGCTGTGGTCAGGAAGGAAACCCAGCCCCACCCTAGGCAGGGCTGCCTGATTAGTAGCACCCCGAGGCAAGGGAAATTAAACCGTCTGAGGCATCCAGTGTTGAAGATTATGTGGATCCCAGGGTTGTTCAGCATTTCGTCTGGGGCAATCCCAAGTGAGCCGGGCCAAGTTACGCTCTGGCGTGAGGGGGGAGGCAGAGGGGGATGGGCCAAAGCTCTTTCCTGGGCACGGAGGTGGAGAAACTCCAAACTCAGGGCCCCCGTGGTGCTAGTGGGTGATGGAGCCCGCGGGGAGCAGGGTCTCACCTCGGAGGGGCTTCGGCTTCGGCTGCTGTACGTGAAGAGCTCGTAGAGGACGACGCCAAAGCTCCAGATGTCGGACTCGCGGGAGAACACGTTTTCCGACAGGGACTCGGGCGCATACCTGGCCGGGAGGAGGGGGTCAGTGAGGCAGGCGGGCACGCGCCAGGCTGGGTAAGCAGTTTGCGACCAATGGGCCAGACCCCCGGCCGGAGTCAATGGGCCCGGCTCCATTGGCGTTTGCACCAGCTGGGCCTCTGGCGGCATATTTGAAACGCCCCCATTTTTGTCTTCAAAAGCCCCCCAGATACGTGGACTAGAGGCCGGAGCCTCCAGCAGCTCCCCCTACCCTGCTGTCTGCCCCGTTCCCCACCAATCTAGGCCTCCCTAGCACTGCCCTAGGGGAGCAGTGTGAGAGGCGGCCGAGTCCAGCAGACAGAGCGTAGGGCTAAGAATCCCCAGCTGACTCGCTAGGTGGCTGTAGGCCCGTGCCTCAGTTTCCCCCTCTGTAGAAAACTGATGTCACAGGGCGGCTGTTGAACTGTTGTTTACAAAGCACCGTTGTTAGCACGGACTGTGTGACTGGCACGAAAGGGCCCCTCCAGCAGGAAGGTTGGATCATATGGTGGAGTGGGGGAACGCTCAGTCCCTCGAGTGGCTTATGCCCATTCCACAGAGGGGAGATATGAGGCTCCGAGAGAGGATGGGGTCATGGGCAAGGCTGCACGGGGAGTCAGTGGCAGAGCCAGGAAAACAACCCAGGAGTCCTGCTGCTTTCAGCTGCTCTGGGAGCGGGCCCAGCGGGGGCTGGCAGCTCGTGTCTCCCCTACCAGAACACGGGGCTCTGTCCCGGCTCCCGCACCACGTAGTACTCCTTGTCCTGCGGCAGCAGCTTGGCCAGGCCAAAGTCCCCGATCTTCACGTGGGTCTCGTTCTCCACCAGGATGTTCCTGCTGGCCAAGTCCCTGTGGACGTAGCGCTGGGATCCCAGGTATTCCATGCCCTGGAACAGAGCGGGGAAATGCACACTGCTGCCCAGCTCCGGTCTGGTGCAGCCTGCCCCAGGCCCGCGGGGGGGGGGGGGGGGGGGGGGGGGGGGGGG